GATGATAACTTGAGTTCACATCTCGAGTGAAGTACCATGGCAAGTCTATCCCAAAACCGATACCAATTGGAGTGAGTCTTGTGCAAGGTCCTCCAGGGTCCTTGACGGTTTCATAGTCCTCCCTACTGGAACGACAATGGAGAGACGTAGCTCAGAGGCCCGGATGTGCCTGGAAAAGAAAGGTCCAAGATTTGCAGAGCAAGAGCCGGGGAAGTCGTGGACAAACTTGGATGAGCTGTTCAATCCTGGGTCCTGATGTACACAGAACTGACTGAGCAGGCAGCTGGAGGAGAAAAGCCCACATTTGGCAGTGTGGCAATGAGATAGGACCTAGATCAATTACATTGGTGTGATGGCTTTCATATTGTTGGACCACTGTGCTCACAAGCAATGATTTATGCTTATATGTTTAAATTTACAAAATTCTCTTTGTAAGAGGGATAAAATAGAATGAAATAGGCTGCTGGAGCTGCAGCCTCCACTTACTCCCTGCTGATGATTGTTGGACATTGTAGGTAGAGGTATTTAAAGATGTTTACCTGTTCAGCCAGGATTGGAAAGGGTTTTTCTAACCCTTTGGGTTCCAATGGCATTCTTCTTCCTTAATTGATTAATTATAGGTTTCCAGGAGGTCATATACTCCTTTAAATGTCTGCTAGAAGTTTTGGTACATTAATTGAATTTATGTACTACTTCAGGAACTGTCAGGCCATGTCCTAAAGCCCATTTCAAAAGAGCAGATTTAGGTTTTGTCCTAATTTTTGTTTAATAAGATCTCTTTAAAGTGAGGCATTTTATGGGATGTTTCCTTAAATCCAGGGCGGAAAGCCCAACTGGCAAAATTCCATCTATATAAATAATATGAGGAGTCCAAAATAAAATCTGCCCCTACTCTTGCTATTTCCTATTGATATTAGATGTTACAAACTAATTTTTAGGAGATGGGATGAGAATCTCTAGGAAAGCCAGGCACGGTGGTACATGCCTGTTATCCCAGTACCTGGAAGGCTGAGGCGGAGCATCCCCACAATTTTAAGACTGGTCTGGACCACATAGTGAGTTCAAAACCAACCTGAATTACATGGTGAGGCTGTACCTCAGAAAAAAAATCTCTAGGAAAAATATTTGCAAACTAAGAGTATTTTCATGTTTTTTTTTTTTTTTTCTTTTCTCTGTCTGTGCCAGAGGATAATCAATACAGTTACCAATAATTATTAAATTTTTGGCCTGGAACTTACAAATAAAAACTGACAATTAAGTTTCAATTCCAGAATCTTTTCTTTTCAAAGTGATCGGGGGTGGACCATGCTTTATTTTGTTGTTGGCTTTCTTTCACTGAAAGCACGAGGAGAATGGAGTCTTATTTGGGGGCAAATCTCCTAAGTGTATACTCAGAGTATTCGCGCTGAAGATAGCTGGAGTAGCACAGAATTGCTCCTGCAGATGACTAGTTTCCTATAGTTGGGGGTATTCCAAATTCATGTCCCCTACAGACCCTGTTCTTTCTTTCTACCAGGCAACTTTAAGGCACTATTTTAGATTTGTGTTGATGTAAATCCTGCGTTAAGTTTGGCTGCTACTGAAAGCTTTCCATGTGTAAAGACATCACTTAGTATTATTTGTAACATTTTCCCAGTCCTAAGATAAGAAAAGCAAACCATCAGTATCCTATTGCTCCATAAGTATTTTTAACACTCCCCCTTTTAAAAATGTATTTAGTATGGGGTCTGCAGGGTCTCACCATGAAGATTGGACTTGTAGTGATTCTCCTGCTTTCAGCCTCCCAAGTGCTGGGAATTACAGGTGGGCGCCACCACACCCAGTCTCAATCACCATCTCAGAGCGCGCCTGGGCCGGGGCCCGGCACAGCAGACTGGGGATTGAACCTCCAACCCCTGGGTCTGCCTAAGCAGGTACTTTAATCTGCTGATTAATTTGGCCTGCCCTCTATTTAGGTTTTCATTTGGTGTTCATTTATTTACCATATGATTTGGGCACCATGGATGAAGACAGCTGATTTCTATTGCATTAAATCAACTCTCTTATGTTATATGCTCAAAATTTTCTTTTTATTAGTATATGTTTGTGGTATAGGATTGCAGTCATCATAGGAAGTTCGTACATGTATATAACACATCTTGATTCTTGTAAATCTCTTCCCCTTCCTCTTCCTACACTCAAAATTTTTTGACTTTTATACTATACTTATTAAATTTTCTCATTTTTCTCTTCCTGGTTTATGAGATTAAAAATTGGTAATTTTTAAAATTAAAAAATTGGCAATATACTACAATATTATATCTTAATATAATACATTATAATATGTCTTATAATTCCTATGAAGTGTTTCCTATGAGAACTACCTAGTGGTTCCTATATATCACCCACATTCATGTCAGGCTTCCCACTGAGCTTCAGTGTATTAGCTTGTGAAGAGATGCAGAGTTGCCTTATGTGGGAGGATTTTCTCCTAAAAGCTTGCACTTGGCAAATCGGTCTTTGGTATGTTGACGCGGTAGTATGCTTAAGTGTTCCTGATGGCTCATGCTTTGGTCTCATGATATCACCTATCTTTGGAATTTCCCAGGGTGCGCCAGGCCCTCAGGGACCAGCGGGTGATCCTGGACTCAAAGGCGATGGCTACCCTGGTGTGGCTGTAAGTGTTGATGTTCCTTTTCCTTTTCCTTTAAACATATTTATTCATTTTAATTTATACATAGTATATTTCTGGAGTCTAGTGTGATGATGTGATACTTGTATATAATGCATGAAGATAAAAACAGTGTAATTATCATACCCATCTCCTTAAACATCATTTCTTTCTTTCTTTTCTTTTTTTTTTTACAAGTCCCAACCTTTTTATTTTATTTTATTTTTTTATTTTTTATTTTTTTTCTTAACATCATTTCTTTATTTTGGAAAACTTGGAGACTCTCTCTTCCGATTCTTTATAAAATACATGGTAAGCCATGAAACTGTAGCAAGGTTGAAAACATTACTTTGCCTCCCTCTTCTTTCCTTCCATTTTTGTGAGAACTGCATATGACAAGAGTCCTCACTGTCCCCTTGTGATGTCATCACAGGGCCCTCGAGGATTGCCAGGACCACCTGGACCCATGGGTCTGCGTGGAATTGGAGACACTGGAGCCAAGGTAAGATTGTTGAAGTAGAAAGCATGCTAGCTTCTAAAACCATCCATCCAGGTAATGATGTTGATCAAGGCGCCTGTCTTTATTTGGCAGGAGGACAGAGGTGTCTGAAGCAGTTGATAGTGACTTGCCTTCACCCCTGGATTTCCTGGGGTACTTAAACTATGTGAATATACAGATTGACTTGGTGGTTTTTCTGCCAGCAGCCCTCACATTCCTTTGCTGCTTCTGCCTCCTCCTCTCCTCTTTCCCTAAGCATTGTCACCTATTCCCTCAGCTTCAGCTGTTATCCACACACTGATGGCTTCTTAGTTTCTAACTTTCTTCTCCTAAGCTCTCATCTCATGTACCTGGCTGTTGCCACCTATTTCCCTTGGATGTCTCACAGACATCTCTAACCTAGCATCCAGAATAGAGCCCTGGACATTCACCTCATAATCCTGTGCAATCATCACCAGCATTCCATGTCAAGCCAGGAGACTTAAAAGTCATCTTTTTACCTCTTTTTCCTCTCTCTCCTTCATGTTTAGCCTTTTGATAAATTCTTTGAGTTCTGTTCTTAAAGACTATCTTGACTTTGGCCTGTTTGTTGCTTCTGCTTCCTCTCTGCAGAGCGCCATCATCTCTTTGGTGGGCTGTTCAAATGCATTCTTCACTGGCTTTTCTCTTTCAACTCTACCTTCATCTAACTTCATCAAACTTTGGAGCAATCATTTTTGAAAATTACAAATAAAATGTTACCTCATTCTTCTTTAGAAATAATATGGTGACTTCCCTTTGTATTTGGAATAAACTTCAGCTGCTTTCTCTAGCCTTTGGTATCCTTCAGGACCAGCAAAGTTTCCATTCATTCACCCTTGTTCACATGCACAGTCATGTTGACCTGTCCCATTGCTGGCTCTTTCACTGTTATGGTTTGTGTCTGGATGTCCCCCCAAAGCCTCGTGTGGTCACGGGGGACAGGCTTTTCTGAGGCTGCTAAATCTAGAGTTTGTAATTGGTTCACTGTCTAGTGCTGGGATTGGTGGTGTGAATGCTGCACCCGCCTGGTTCAGGTGGCCTGCATACAGTCTAAGGGAACAAGAGTCCTGCTTCCTCCCTTTGTTGCTTTTTCTGTCTTCCCTTGCTGTGTGCTGATGTCCCTGTGCCATCCCACCCTGCCCTAGAGCCAACTGCTCATGGACTGAAGCCTCCACAAACTGTGAGCTAAATAAACCTTTCTTCATTTAGTTTTGAGTGTCAGGTATTTTTTCTCAGCAATGAGAGAAAAATAACTAAAACATTCATATTCTTGAGCTTTGGCTCAGTCCTATCCTATCTTTGGCTCTAGGATAGTCAATTTCTGAAGCCTCAGGTCATATGTTACCTCCCTATCCATTCATTTGAAAATATCAAAAATACCTCTGTGTATCCTTTATAGAATAGATCACTTTCTTGGGTGACCCTTCTTGTTTATTGCTTAGCACACACCACAGGAATGTAGGTTTTCTCAAAGGCAGCCTCTTTGTACTGTTCCTTCCTAACCTACTGGACAAGATCTTGGAGTATTACCCATTCAGGCTCTATAATATGTTAAATGAATAGAACATGGATTACCTGAAATTAACCTTGTTATTTGAAAGAGAAAAAATTCCCTTACTAATTAACTACTCAGCTTTTCTTCATGCTTCCAAGTCAGTAGTGAAAGAAGATGTTATATACCCTCTCGATGCCAATTCTTTTGTTTTGTTTTTTGTTTCTGCTATAATACTTAGAGGTGACCATACGTTGATAGCGCTCTGCTACAATGCATTAGGCGCACTTTTGCTTCTCCAAGTAGAATAAAGAAGAATGTATCTAAATATCAGCTCTAAAGAGATCTTAATACTTACCCTGTTTCTGATTCTTGGGGAATTATGAGTGTCCAGTGAAACTACATATCGGAAAGTACAGTGGAAGCCATAGAAACATGAGATGTTTTGTTCAGAATCCAAATTTGGCTTGACCCTGGATGAACCCAGATTCTTGAATAAGCCTTGGCATTGTCAGTGAATGGCACTGAATTTAGGTATTAAGGTAACCTTCTTCCTTCAAGCCATAGTACGTGTCAAAGTGAAAGCTTAAAAAAAATAGAGACATTCAATAGATAAATTTATTTTCTGCTCTAAGTGAAATACTGGTTAAAACAACAACACCAAACAAAAACAGAAGCATTGTAATCATACCAAATAGTTCCTTAGGGAAGTACAAGGTTATTTCTACTTAAAATAAGACAAAATAAAATGTTAAATGCATACTGGACTGTATACATATTCCAAAGGAAATAGATGATTATTTACATTTTTAGAAAGTAGATTATTATGATTGTTTTATGTAAATCTACATAACGTTACATTAAATTATACTATTATGTTGCTGCTTTACATTTGGCATTAGTAAAGACAGGCACTTAGGCACAGATAAAGAGCATTTAAAATTTCATCCTTGTAGATATTCCACTCTATCAAATTATTTAAGACATAAGGGTAAAACATTTGCTCGATGTTTTCATGTCACTTCTCTCCAAATGTTCCTTGTATTTGCTTCCCTACATGCTGGGGATCACCAAGGAGATGGTGTTCCTTGAAAAATTTCATCTTACTTTTAAATTTCAATTTTTTATTGTGTTTGAGGTAGCCAGTGTGTTGCCAAGAGTGTCATCAGCGAGACCCACACTACCCTAGTGAGCCTGCACAGGAGACTTGGAGCTGCAGGTGGAGGTCAGGGAGGAAGCTCCCGCCAGGCCCCGCCTCTGGGCCTCGTGACTCTTCCTGTGGGACGTGTGTGGACTGGGATATTACTAGACCTGCAAGGCGGCGATGTTGAGAGGATAAGGTTGTAGAATCCAAGGAACTGATGCTGTAAACTGGAAAATGAAGGAAGTTCTAAACACAAATACAAGCTTTTAAATGACTTTTAAAATAGCCTCTCCTTTTTTATAGAAGCCTCACAGTCTCGGTGTAACCTTTTCTTCTGAAGAAGACTTTTGGAAACCCATCGACAGAGACTGGGGAAGCAAAGGAGATAGTTTAAAAGATTTAATTCCTGTTAACTTTGTCCTGATAAAGTGAAGATGAGATTCCCAAAAGAACAAAAATTACTATTGGCAGCAAAGCCTCCGATCCAAATATATACCAAATTTTTCTCCTTCCATTCTGAGTTTAAACAACAGAGAAACTACAAGTACGTGGGAGTATTAGAGTGTTTAGTTGTATCGACATATGTTTCCTGATATGTTTTTCATTTAAACTCTGTGTAGTCACCTTAAAATCTTGGCCTCAAGGCATTAACTTACAAAACAAATGTGTTTTGAAATAAGGAAACCATTAAAGTTGATGATTAATTTATAGTGGGTTTTTGAGATACTTAGTTAAGGTCACATGTGTTTAGCATATGACACAGACATTAGAATCAAAGTTCTATGTTTCAAAACATATAAAAGTTTTCCTTATGTCTAACACACTTGTGGTACTCTGTGGCTTTTTCTCAAGTGGAAAAAATTTGTAAGACATCGGTGATTGTAGTTTTTAAAATATAGTTACCTTGAATTTAGTTCACATTTTGACAGGACCTTCAAAGATGTTTCAAAAGTTCTTGTAAACACTGTCAAGGACACAATAGATGTAGTTTTAAAATCTTTGTGAAGCACAATAGTAAGAGGAACTGATGACTACGGTTCCTTGCTAAGTCAAAAGTGCTCATGCTTGGTCTGAGGTTTGGCGCTAGATTCTGTCCTGGGTCACTGACAGGGAGACAAGCTCAGAGAACACACCCATTACGATTTTTTTAAAAAATGTATTTGGTACAGCATCTCATTGCACAACTCAGACTCAGAGTGATCCTTCTGATTTGAGCCTCTCTAGCTCTGGGGCTACAGATATGTGTCACCATTCCTGGACTCAGCGCACCTGGGGGTGGGGCTGGTGCAGCATGTGGTGCCAGGGCTCAAACCGTGGTCCCTGAGCTTGCCTAAGCAGGTGCTTAGTCTGCTGAGCTATCTCTCCGGCCCTGACCCTACTGTCTGCTCTTATTCATTGGGGCCTTGGAGATTTAGGAGAATCCCTTGAAATTTGAGAGCAGTCATGACAGAAATCTCATCTCCCTTTTAGAAACTGCAGATAACTTTTTCCTGTTGAATTTTCTTTCCCAAGACTCACTGAGGTGCATGTAGCCAAAAAGCTGTTTTACTGATGTTCATGAGCCTCAGAATTTGTTTCTGGTCTCACGGAAGCAGAACACAGGAGTGGCTTGCCTAGGCTCCATCAGGGAAGGCGCATCCCTCCTGTTTCTCTCCTACTTCTTTCTGCCCCTCTCAGTGTGGAACTCATCGCGGGGAAAGCTATGGCCTTTCCTGAAGGCTTAGAATTATTTAACTTAGGCCAATCCTTAAATCCAACTTTGGTGACCTCAAGGGACCTCTTCACCATCAAGTGGGTTGTAGGACACCTGTGGGCTTAAAAGAAGCGTTGTATGATTTTTTTGAGTTATAATTATTGCATATTGCCTATATATTTCCAAAATAAGATTTTTTTAAACAATCGCTGTACTTTCTAGATGAGGAAATCGAGAGCTAGAGAGGTTGAACAACTTGTCTGTTTATAATACAGGTGGTTTGGGTACAATGCTTGTTTTGTGTATGAATGGAAGTTTCTGAATGTGACTCCTGAATCAAGCCCGAATGGCTGAGTGAGTTAGACCAGAGAGCGTGACGTACCTGAGTCTGTGGATGTGGCCTCGAATTTATCATCTTCTAGCCATCTCACCCCTGTTTTGCGTATTGCTGCATTACTTTTCTTTCTATTCTTGGTTTTCCATCACCATAACCTAGAAGATATAAACCTTAAGGAGAAACATAAACCCAAATCAAAAGACTTAAACAGTTTTCAAAAACTTCAAATGTTTGAATATTGTAGCATGGCTTGATTTAAAAAAAAGTGGCCCATAGCCATAAATTAAAATGCAAGTCTGTGTGAAATTCCACTGAG